AAAGGCGTGCAAGAGGCCGAGGCGCTAGAAGAAATGGGCAGAGCCGCAGCACCTAGAGCATGTGACGAAGCATCATCAGCAGAAGGTACAGGGGTATGGGAAATGTCTGGAGAATGGTCCAATGAAGAAGCCGGGTCAGAACAGGATGCGGCAAGAAAAAGGGGCCTGGGAGGAGGAGGGTTATTATGGAACGAAGACTCCATTATGATGGTACTTCTTTCTTATCATTATTTTAAAGATAAAAAACGAAAGAAAAACAAAAAATGAGTGACAGCGGAGGGACAGTCACTAGAAGGCATGAAAATTAAGGTTTCCTTCTCATCCGAGAGGACCTCAAGACCACGAACAGTGTAGATGCAGCGTGGAACCCGTGCCAGTCCCTACCCTTCACGCCAGTAAACCAGCGCTCCAGGACAGCAACCTCACATCTACTGACCCACCTTGGTGGACAAAAGAGAGGGCGGTCAGAAACCCACCACCTCCCAGAATCGACAGGTAGCCTCTGGAGACACACCCGTCACGTGCAGGACACCCCGCCCACCTCTCAGAAATCCAGGAAGGGAGCAGGGTGCCCCCAGACAAACCAGATTCCACGGCAAACTACACCACACCCGAGGAACCTCATGAAGTGGGATGAACCCCTGCTAACTTCCCCCTACTTAGAAACCGTAATGCCAGAAGGGAGGACCCCAGAGACTACAAACGGAGCGGGAAAGAGAGAGGGTTGGGAGGGGAGAGGAAAGGGAAAAAAAAGGGGGAATGGGGAGGATGGGATAGGGAAGGGAGGATTGGGGGATTGGGGGTAATTAGGTTCGGTCTGAGGAAGGAGACCAAAGGGTCTAGTTCCTTAGACCAAGAGTCTCTTCGCCACGTCAAGGAGCCCCTCTTGAAGAGGTGGAAGGTTTGAATTGGTTTAGGGAGGTATGTCCTTTTTTTTTTTTTTTTAAATTAGGATAATTTCCCCATGATAAATTCTTAATACCAAGTTTGGTTACCTTCAAATTTTCAACGTAAATATTTAAGAATACATCCAAAAGACTTTTAAACCGAGAAAATTGCAAATAATTTTTTATTCATTTAATAGGAAAATAACACAGTTCAGTCTCACTTGCAAAATCTTGTCATTTATACATAAAAGCAAAACAAAATAAAAAAAATGGCGCACGAATTGTCCAATTACCTTGTTATTGACAGGAAACTTTTTTCTGATAAAATTCATAATTTCCGATAACTCGACTTACAGAAATTGCAGAAATAAAATTTAAAAACCAAACTATTCCCAGAATTTTGCACCTTTTTTTTAAATAAAAAAAAAATCACATTCTTAAAAATTATGTTATGGTTTCACCCCGGAAGAAATACCCACTCAGCTGCATTAGGAACTTATGCCGCACTCTGCACTAATTTAATTGCATGCATTGACAAACAGAGGGCTGGGGAAATGAAAACAACACCCGTAGGATGTCGTACAGTGCCTGAGGGATGAGAGATTTTCAGATTTGATCTTAGAATGGGGAGGTCATCTCCAATTTATGGAATTATATACCCTACATTAGCTCCAAGGACCCCACCTGGAGGCCGTTTCAAGTGTCAACGCGGCCCAGTCTTTAACCAGATGTCCAAATGGATCAGAGCCTGATCAACCAGTCTGTTACTGCTGGCCGCACGCAATCCAACGTACGAACTACAGCCCGGCTGATCTGGCATTGACTTTAGGCTTATGTGAAGTCTCCTCTTGAAGGCAACCAGAGGTCTATTGGTAATTTCTGTTATGCATAGGAGGAGGCTGTTGAACAGTCTTGGGCCCCAAAAACTATGTGTGTTTCCCTTCATGATAGATTTTGCTACCTTCATTATACATTGCATTATCATATTAAAAATAGTCAATTACAATATATCCAAGGGGAAGGTAGCCCTAAATTCTTGCATCAAAAACTTCTCAGCAGAATCAAGGCACCTTCTAGTAGGATATTGCTTCCTACAATGTGCTTAAATAATGTGTGAACAAGAAAACTGGAACAAACAGGGCACCTAAGTAAAGGAGTTGCCAAGAGTGCCTCACTATGGCACCTTCTGAATCCTCCTGCTAATAGAGGAAAGTGAGTTAGCTCTAACTTTCTTGTCGCTGTCAGGTCAAATAGAGTTACGAATGTAGTTAATTATGGTGCGTGGGGACACAACGAATGGAAGTGTATGTGTGTGTGTCCGCGCGCACGTGCGTGCCTGTGCGCGCATGCGCGTGTATGCGTGTGTGCGCGCGCGCATGTGTCATATCTACCGTACTGAAGAATAGTGGAGCTGTGACTTAAATACACCACTCAACGTTTGATCAGACACACATTGTAATCTCTAACTCGGATCATCGATCCTCAGTGCACAGAGACAAAACTGAATAGTCGTGGTAGTCGTGCAAGAAGGAAAGGTCCCTGCGAGAAATCGAGAGAACGTGAACTACAGAACGTGCAGAAGATTCTATAAGCACATTGTCTGAAACAACACAATGTCCAGGGACCCAGCAAAAGATATGTCTTTTACTTTGCTTTAGAGGTGACACAGATATCATTGAATTATTTGGACGAGATGAGTTACAAGCTCTTCGGAGCTTGTAACTCATTGTGAGACTCAAAAGGAAGAACTCTTGATAAATGTTGCAACAAGTGCGTATAACTCTACCGTAAATATACTTGCTATATCCGATAAGTGCCCTTACAGCATGCTCTCCGGAAAATCTGCCGCCTATCCTACACAATCTGAGGATTTACAACCATTAATGCCCATCGACTGCAGTTGAAAATGATCAAGGAAGAAGGAGCGCACGTCCATAGTCAAGATATGCTAATTTGGAAAGTGACCGAAGGAGGAACATACTCTAATTTTTGATACCTCCCACTGTGGGAATGGAATAGAAATTAACAGGTTAAATAGCTAAGATGAGGGGGCGGTAGTGAGTGAGTGGAAAAACATTTAGAAGCTGACGGTGAAGTAAAATGGATTTAATACAAAAGGGCGACAGTTGAAAAAATCAGCTTTAAAAACGTGTCCTGTTGACTCACGAAATCGTAATGACACGATTGCAAACAAACCATAAAACGGGCGGGGATAGAACCCGCGATCAGAGAGTCTCAAAACTCCAGACCGTCGCGTTAGCCACTGGACCAGCTAGCCACAATAAGATTCGTCCAACTAGGTATATTTCTACACCATAGGAAGGTTAGCATAGGCACCACTGTGACCACAAATGCAAGTTTTTATAGACGAATCTCCAGCTAGTGTGGCCGTGACGAACTCTAGCTCAAGTCTCCTCAAGGCCGTTAACATTACTCACGAAACTTGCATTTGTGGTCACAGTGGTGTCTATGCTAACCTTCATATGGTGTAGAAATATACCTAATTGGACGAATCTTATTGTGGCTAGCTGGTCCAGTTACTAACGCGTCGGTCTGGAGTTTTGAGACTCTCTGACCGCGGGTTCTATCCCGCCAGTGGTATGGTCAGTCCTGTTCCTAGTGGTCATGAAGATCCGGAAAGTGAACAAATATGGGAGACAATAAGAATCTCAGCTCTACAATAGGTTTTTGACTGGGGATGAACGAAAGCAATGACACACGGATGCAGTCTCCTGTTCAATAGAAGTTCCATTAATTTACAAATAGATCTAGTAACAGCTTTGGGTCTATAGAGGGAAGAATCACGGCCCAACATATCTGATTTTCGGAAAAGAAGAACCACAGCAGACTTCCACTGCAGAGGTAAAAGGGTTGCACACGAAATATTTCTAGAGAGAGATAACAGGTTTTGTGCGGAAGGGTGTAAATATTGAAACATAAAAATATGCATATTTTCGGAGCCCAGCTGTCGTAGGTTGACATTCTGACAATGCTGACCCAAGTTCATGAATGGTAAACAAAACAGTATCTAGTTCATCGATATACGAGGTGATGCCTATGGAAATAGATCCTCGGAAGGATTCAGAATGAAGGAAGGCAGGAGACTGGTGTTGCCCATGGAAAACCAGAGTAAAGTGACATGCTGTTCCACTAATTCCATCATTAAAGTCAAGGACTTGTGATGATTTTAATAATTTTCCATAGTGCGCTTATAAAAGTGATGACATTCAGAGTTGAAACATAAGAACGCTTGGCAGGTTGCTTAACACGGCGGGAATGGGCTCTCCCTAGTTTGAAATGCAGACAGCGGGTAGCAGTACGATTGTACCGATAACTGCCCAACGCGGCGGCATGTGTAAGTTGGATGGCACTAGCACAATTTACATACCACCAGCCTACACATTTATAAAAATATTTACCTGAGACTCATGTGATGCCAAGTCCAGCAGCCAAGAGAAGTGATTTAATAAAAAAAAATGTAATAGATCATTAATAAAGGAGGAAGAAAGGAAAAGAGATGTAGCTGTAAAATATACATCCATTTTTACAGGTTGAAAATGCTACCCGGAGCGGCGATGAGGATGGGTACAGGAGTAATGGGCAAGTGGTGGCTGTCATGGAGGTCATTCACCTCTGCCCAATCAAAATCCAGTGTTACAGAAGTTGAATAAATCGACAAATCAATAAATGAAGTAGTGTAAGTTGAAAGGTCTATAGGGGTCTTATTGGGGTCAGGTTTCGGTATTTAGGATATATAAAAATAGAGAGATACGAAAAAACTACGATAGTTCACTATGAGTGACGATGAAACAAATCCCAAAGAAAAATGAAGGAAATTAATATCTTCTTAAATAAAAAAAAAAGGCACAATACCGTGACTGGAACGATACACAAATAACCCGCACATAAAAGAGAGAGAAGCTTACGACGATGTTTCGGTCCGATTTGGACCATTTACAAAGTCACAAAAAATTGTAGTTCAGCTAAAGATGAATTAGGAACTGTGTGGTATATGGAGATAAGGTTTGAGAAGGAGAACGATTCAAAGAACATAGTATTGTAGGCCATTTATCTTAGTAATAATACAAGTGCGTTTCAGCCTGAGGAGCTCACCTGAGCGCTGGCAGACAGGTGATGATGTCTGCACCTTCAGGGACATCATAGGTGAATACTCTCTTCATATTTCTGTACAAGCTGAAGCACAGAAACTCCCTCCACTGTTCTGCAAACACAAACACGTCGGTTCCATTGCATTTAGTCTCATTCCAGAAACTTTCAACTTCCATCAACCATGCAATATATGTATATTTGCTTGCTTCACTTAAATATTTACATTTGTTTACATCCCACTGGACCATTTCGGATATTTATTTTACAGTATTGCTGTAATATACTGTACATCCTGTATTCCTGATAAATGCACTGTTACGTTCCTGCTGCGTATATAAATGCTGTATGCCTGCCACTAACAATAAAATATTCCTACTATATATGTATTCATGTATTCCTTTCTGTATACCAGTATTCCAACTAACATTCCATTATTCCTGCTACCAACATCCAATTATTCCTGCTACCAACATTCCATTATTCCTGCTACCAACATTCCATTATTCCTGCTACCAACATTCCATTATTCCTGCTACCAACATTCATTATTCCTGCTACCAACATTTCATTATTCCTGCTACCAACATTCCAGTATTCCAAGTACCAACATTCCATTATTCCAGCTACCAACATTCCAGTATTCCAGCTACTAACATTCCAGTATTCCTACTACCAACATTCCAGTATTCCTACTACCAACTTTCCAGTATTCCTACTACCAACTTTCCAGAATTCCAAGTACCAACATTCCAGTATTCCAGCTACCAACATTCCTGATCTTAATATTAGTATTCTGAAGATTTACTGGTAATTTACAATGTGTTTACCTCCACTTGTGTCACTATACATTTCCCCTGTAAAACAAAAATAATTACATTAACATTCCACATATTTCAGAGGCTCACCACCTCGTTAAACAAAATTGTTATTCTGATCGAACTTTTATGAAATCCAGGTGGGAAACCCCAAGGCATCAGAGAAAAATGTAGAAGCATGTTAGGTCTGGTTTACAAGTCCTGCTGACAAGTTTAGTTAAGAGAGTTTGTAGAGTTTGTAGAAATTATTAATAAATTAGTTATACGTCTTATACGTTGCTGGTGTAGTTATACGTGTTATACATTGTTAGTATGTTTATACGTGTTATATATTGATGCTATAGTTATACATGTTAATTCCTTTGTGCTATTTGTATTGCCCTCTTCTTATTTCTTTCATTTATTCTCTCTCTCTCTCTCTCTCTCTCTCTCTCTCCTCTCCTCGTCCTAACTTCCTCTCTCGTCTCCCTACTCCTCACAGTCTTACCTCCTCTCTCCCATTCTCACTCGTCCTAACTCCTTCCCCCCCACTATCCTCAACTTCCCCCCCATCACTCCCTCCACTTACTCCTCCCTCCATCCTACCTCCCTCCATCCTACCTCCCTCCATCTACCTCCCTCCATCCTACCTCCCTCCATCCTACCTCCCTCCATCTTCCCCCTCCATCTTCCACTCCCTCCACCTACCTCCCTCCATCTCCCTCCCCTCCATCCTACCTCCCTCCATCCTACCTCCCTCCATCTTCCCCTCCCTCCCCTCCATCCTACCTCCCTCCATCCTACCTCCCTCCATCTTCCCTCCCTCCATCTTCCCTCCCTCCATCTTCCCTCCCTCCATCCTACCTCCCTCCATCCTACCTCCCTCCATCCTACCTCCCTCCATCCTACCTCCCTCCATCCTACCTCCCTCCATCCTACCTCCCCTCCATCCTACCTCCCTCCATCCTACCCTCCCTCCATCCTACCTCCCTCCATCCTACCTCCCTCCATCCTACCTCCCTCCATCCTACCTCCCTCCATCCTACCTCCCTCCCATCTACCCTCCCTATTATAGTACTAATAACCCGCACTGACTGATGACTCCGCTATAATCTTGTTAAATATTTAATGCACTCTGTGCCCTGAAAACATCAAGAAAATGTGGCTACAATATATTTATAACGTTGATGAAAACTAATTACTTATAATTTCTATATCAGCTAATTACATATTTCTGGTAATTTTTTATAAAAAAGGTTAATTTATATATGTCAGGAACAAAGTTTAAATATTATTTTTCATAAATGATTTAAACATTATGTGACTGCTAATAATGTTTTTTTTAAGATAAAAATTTACTTATTTTATTTATTAAAGTTTGAAATATTTTGTCGAAATATTATGGGGCTAAGATATTAATTATATGGAGACGAATAAGTTTTTACCTTCACGGGCACACACACACACACACACACACACACACACACACACACACACACACACACACACACACACACACACACACATAGTAGCGACCTGTCAAGATGCGGGACCTGGAGCTATGAATCGACCCCTGCAACCCCAGTTAGGTGAGTATACAGTATACACACAAAAAAAGGCAAAGTGTCTATCGAAAAGTGCCTTATATGACACCTGGTAACTAACACAAATACACACAGGAGCTATGAATCGACCCCTGCAACCACAAATTGGCGAGTACACACACACACACACACACACACACACACAAAACAGTCGCAAACAGGTGATGTTAACAATGCAGAACAAGCCACATGGGGCGGAAATCTTTAGCTCAAGATCTTTCACACTCTTGTGCGTCGTCAGGAGCTATGCGATGTTGCATGACAGCAACAGGTAGTAGGGGAAATTCTCTGAGACAATGCAGAGTGAGTTTCATTTCGCTCTGCCTATTACTCACTTCTCCAGAGGGCTAAGTATGATAACCTTAAATATAAATGCACTGGAAAACACTGAACCCATACGGATCATACAATTCATGGGGAAATGGAAGCTAATTAGGTTTGATTCTAGGAAAGGGAGGGTTAGCTCCAATTTCTTCTGCCAAGAGCTCTTCACCGGCGCTACAGCACCCTCCGTGAAGGTTGGCAACCTCAGCAACAGACTGATTTGTACTGACGTATAGAGCTTGATAATAAGATACTTTGATGAATTAAACCCTTAAAGGTGTCCCACTCATTCTTCACCTCCATATCTTTCCAGATATAAACATGCAAATAGTTCATTACCACTTTAACTTGTACATAATGGGCCCAGTCCTTGGGCCCATTATGTACCTCTATAATCTTTTGACTATCGCCCGCAGGATGGGTATAGGGGTGCATAATAATGATGCTAAAACTTAACTTATCGTTCCAGACCATGAAGCTGAGCTCTTCTCCAGGCTGAGGGACTACCACTTATACGACTTCTCCAAGGTTAATGAACTGACTACATCTTCATTTCTTTACTACACCTGCAACCTGACTGAAGAAGCCTACTATGTAGGCGAAAAATTTCAATAATAAAGATACCTAACTACTGCATATGTTTTTTAATCATCAATGACTAATTATAAACAAAACTGATCTGAGTGACAGACCACTAATAAATTATTTTGTTTGTTAAAGTATCTAAGATGAAGGTTGTGTTGACTTACTGAGGCCGAAATGAACAGTGATGATGTCGTAGATTGTGGCCAGCACCACCAGGGCACCGAACACACCCAGGATCGACCTGTGGGGGGAGAGGTCACATTAGATCCCATCAGGTCATTTACCAGAGAGGTATCACTAGGTCACTCAGCCAAGCTGAGGGGTCACACACGGCCAGTCAGTCACACTAGGTCACTCAGCCAAGAGGTCATACCAGACCACTCAGTCAAACGGAGAGGTCAAATCAGGCCACTCAGCTAAGCGGAAAAGGTCACACAAAGCTACTCAGCCAATCGGAGAGGTCACACTCGCTCACTCAGCCCAGCAGACAGGTTACACCAGGCCACTCAGCCAAGCAGAAAGGTCACACCAGGTCACTCAGATAAAGTATAGCGCAGCGAACAAGAGGCAGCTAAAGGAGACCTTTGTTAACCAGACTTTTACCCTCAAGAAAGTGTAACAAGTACCTTGATAAAAACTCATACGGGCGAAACATCGTACTAACACAGGCCTCATGTAAGTGAACCATCATAATAATAAACGTCATAATATAATTCAATTTAATATTTATAAGACGGCGCTAAACCCTAATGCGCCAAACAGCGTAAACGCGGAGAATCTAGCCGCGGAAAATAAACTACATGATTCATATGTGTGTGCATAAATATATATATATATATATATAATATATATATATATATATATATATATATATATATATATATAAAATATATATATATTATAATATATATATAAATAACACAAAACAACCACTCTGAAAGAATAAAGAAATTCCAAGCGCTTTCGTGACTACTCACATTATCAAGATAGTTCCTTGATAATGTGAGTAGTCACGAAAGCGCTTGGAATTTCTCTATTCTTTCAGAGTGGTTGTTTTGCATATTTTGAAATCACCTGTTTACTGTGATCTTATTGCATATATATATATATATAATATATATATATATATATATAAAATATATATATATATATATATAATATATATATATATAATATTTAATCTTTTTCCCCTAGCTCCATTTGTGAAGCTCTAGCCCAATTAAGGCTCTTGCTGTCCCCCTGTTTCCATAATGAATTAATTATATTTAACATAAAGAATAGACAAAGGATAATTACAATGATAAAGCAGGAAAGTAGAGCCGAGAAGTAATGGGGGATAAGAAAACGGCTACTTGCCTAAAAAACTGAAGAGGAAGGAATGTGTATCAGTGATTCTTAACATATTTTATGTTAAAGTGAAAAAAAAGGGAGAGAGAGAGAGAGAGAAAAGAGAGAGAAATGAGAGAAAAAAAGAGAGAAGAGAAACAGGAGAGAAAAGTGTGTGAGAGAAATGAGAGAGAAAGAGAGAGAGAGAGAAGAGAGAGAGAGAGAGGAGAGAGAGAGAGAGAGAGAGAGAGAGAGAGAGAGAGAGAGAGAGAGAGAGAGAGAGAGAGAGAGAGAATGTCAGAACACTTACAGCATAGCCTTGTCCTCTGGGATGAGGCTGTCTGGAGGATCATCGTCAGTAAAGCACCTGACATTCACAACTTGTATCCCGTGTTCCTGCATCGTCCCGTTCAAAGACTCCTGCAGTATAAAACATTACATCACTGTCTGCTCTTCGCCCAATCCTGCTAACCTGTAGCTCACTAGTGGAGCGTTTGATTCACAATCTAGAGGAATCTAGTTTGATTTCCGGGCGAATGGAGGCTAATGGGAAAAGTTCATTTTCACCTGATAACAGCATCATTACATTTAGGAAAATCACTAATGCTGGATAGGTCATTCATTAGTACTTTTATCTAACAGTAATTAGGTACTTTTTCAGTAATGTGTGTGTCTTACATCCAAAAGCATTCTAATGAAAAATATAGTACACACCCAGGATCGACCTGTATTTGGTTTTGTTAGGTAGGATGACGGTTCTGAAACTCGAGGATCTCTTTGACCATAATGATCATTCAGTATTCTTGACAATAAAATATAAATACAACACAGATAAGGAAAAAAAATATTAAACTGACACAAAATGTTTCCAAGACATTACTAAATAACTAAAAGTGTAAACATATTAAAACCCCTTAATTCTAAAGTGAGAAGACCCTAAAGTTCCATGCCAAATAATTAAAATGAACCACACAGTGAGCCCAGCCATGCCACACGCTACGCAGAGTGGATGGGAAACGGGGTGATAAGGAAGCCTGCAAATAGGTGGCTACGGGCGAGTTTAGTCTCAAAGTGGCGATTCCTATTGAAGGAAGAAGGCCAAATGTCCTAGTGAACGTTGTGTAACTTATTTCTCATCTGTAGGACCCACCAAGCCTGCAGTTTTCCAATGGCATAATCTATACAAATGACCCACGAAGTCATTATAAGTCTGGTATAGGGTAAATTCGTTATAGGAACCATCTGTCCGTTTATTCCCCAGGACACCAACATAGCCCAAGCACCAACAGAACTCTACATGAAGATAAGCTGACTACTCGTGGATCATTTGCATCACAGAATATACACGTCCTTACTGGGCCAGAGTAAACAGAGCTCAGTGGTAATCTGAACAGTGAACTGATGTACGGAGGGCAGCAGGCGAATTTTACGGCACCATTTGTGTATAGCTCCTTGGAATTCACAGTGCTAATATTTTTTAGCATTCAAGGTTGGGGATATGGTCGTCAGCTTTTATATTCTGTAAGCTAGTGATAACTGCTTTCACTCCTTTTACTTCTGGTTAACAACTGGCAATAGTTTCAGCGGTGGCTTCAATTTCTGGGTCTAAAGTGTCAATGGTGGGTGCAGGAGAGGTATTCGTTGCGTAATGTAGTCCTGAGACTGAAGGGTCAGTAGTGGGGTGGGCTTGGTTGTTTCAGGGATGAGTGCATCTGTCTCCATGAGCACGGGTGATTCTGGGAGAGATATGTACACCGGAAGGATGCTGGTTCATGATCCCGAGCATTCTGAAGAATCAACTTCAGGAAACTTCATTTCCGGGAGGCTGTTAAAGCGGTCAGCAACGAAGGCGGTGACAAAGTTACTAAGTCTGACACTCAAAGTGTTCCTCAGTAAGGAAGACAGTGTCAGCTTCGTGTGCGCATAAGTACCCTCATGAAGTGGGCGAATGTGAACACACTGGCCTGGATTTTGGAATACGACTTGTGTCCCTTGTGTGTGTTTGGGGAGAGGGGGGGGAGGTCCGCCTTACTATCCTTAACTAAGACCACAGTTTAGCTGGGCTGACAGGTGCACAGCGAGAGTTAGCTGGGCAATCCTGGGGTTAATTGTCAAAAGCATGTTCTCGATTTCCTCTTTTGTTTTTCATTATCTTGTTTCTTTCACGTCATCAAGTCGTTGTCTATTTATCGTCTTCGTCGAAAACTTCTTAGTCTTCAGCTTTTGCTTCGTCTTCTTAGTCTTCAGCTTTTGCTTCGTCTTCTTAGTCTTCAGCTTTTGCTTCGTCTTCTTCGTCATCTTCTTGTTCTTTGTCTAGGTCTTCGCCTTCTTCGCTGTCTTGTTCTTCTTCATTGTCTTCATCTTGTTCCACGTCTTCATCTTCCTTTACTTCTTCTTCCTCTTCATCATCTTCACACGGTGGTGTTTCCCTGAACCTTCGCTCACCCGCAGCCCTCCACACAGAGGCTCACAATAAACTGAGTGTACAAGCCATCGAGGAATTAAATCTTCAGTGAGTAGGAGCTAATATTTACGACAGAGTAATAATTGAGACATCGAAAAAGTCCATAAAAGTTAATAGAGAAGCAAGGAGGCTTTATGGAGGGACACATTTCCAGAGATTACATTTTTACAAAGAACTAAGAAAATGCTGCGAGAGATAATAATAATAATAGTATTATGATAATCAAGGGGAAGCGCTAAACTAACATGAGTCATAGATCGCCTGGGAAATGGGATGTGCCCTATTTTCAAGCACATAAGGCTCGCTTTTCTTCTCCACAGGAAGTCTTGGAAAATCACCCTGCGCCTTATATGCTAAAGATCAGGGTCAAGGATAGGCTTTGGGTTACGCTTTAGCAATTGTTTACTAACGTTACGTTACAACCGTGGTCACGTGGTCACTGTCCTAAGCTGTCTGGGAATTAGCGTGGGGTGTTAGTGAGCACCATGGCCTGCTGAAGTGTCTTGGAATCCCAGGTTAAAGTACTGAAGAAGGAGGTTCTACTTCTTCAGGAGGAAAATGGGAGGCTGAAGCTTCGCCAAGATGGACTTGGGAGTGAGTGTGAGATAATATAAGAACATAACATAAGAAAGGAGGAACACTGCAGGAGGCCTGTTGGCCCATACTAGGCAGGTCCTTTACAATTCATCCCACTAACAAAACATTTGCCCAACCCAATTTTCAATGCCACCCAAGAAATAAGCTCCGATGTGCAAGTCCCACTCAAATCCAACCCCTCCCACTCATGTACTTATCCAACCTAAATTTGAAACTACCCAAAGTCCTAGCCTCAATAACCCAACTAGGTAGACTGTTCCACTCATCAACTACCCTATTTCCAAACCAATACTTTCCTATGTTCTTTCTAAATCTAAACTTATCTAATTTAAATCCATTACTGCGGGTTCTCTCTTGGAGAGACACCCTCAAGACCTTATTAATATCCCCTTTATTAATATCTATCTTCCACTTATACACTTCGATCAGGTCTCCCCTCATTCTTCGTCTAACAAGTGAATGTAACTTAAGAGTCTTCAATCTTTCTTCATAAGGAAGATTTCTAATGCTATGTATTAATTTAGTCATCCTACGCTGAATGTTTTCTAACGAATTTATGTCCTTTTGTAATATGGAGACCAGAACTGAGCTGCATAATCTAGGTGAGGCCTTACTAATGATGTATAAAGCTGCAGTATGACCTCTGGACTTCTGTTGCTTACACTTCTTGATATAAATCCCAGTAATCTATTTGCCTTATTACGTACGCTTAGGCATTGCTGTCTTGGTTTAAGGTTGCTGCTCACCATAACCCCCAAGTCCTTTTCGCAATCTGTATGGCTAAGTTCTACATCATTTAACTTATAAGTACTAGGGTTATGGGCACTCCCAAGCTTCAGAACCTTGCATTTATCTACATTGAACTGCATCTGCCACTTTTCTGGCCAAGAATAGGGTTTAAATCCTCCTGAAGTTCCATAACATCTACGTTTGAATCAATTATCCTACCTATCTTTGTGTCATCGGCGAATTTGCTCATATCACTAGTAATTCCCTCATCAAGATCATTGATATATATTATAAACAACAACGGACCCAAGACTGATCCCTGTGGAACGCCACTTGTTACTGATCCCCACTCGGATTTAACCCCATTTATGGACACACTCTGCTTCCTGTCAGTGAGCCATGACTCGATCCACGAGAGCACTTTTCCCCAATGCATGAGCTGCCACTTTCTTTAAACAGTCTATGGTGCGGAACTCTATCAAAAGCCTTACTAAAATCTAAGTAAATAATATCAAATTCTTTATCGTGGTCAACAGCCTCAAAAGCTTTACTGAAGAAAGTTAATAAATTAGTTAGACAAGACCGGCCTCTTGTGAATCCATGCTGAGTATCATTAATCAAGCTATGCTTATCGAGATGGCTTCTTATAATCTCAGCTATAATTGACTCTAGTATTTTGCCTACAATTGAGGTCAGGCTTATTGGGCGGTAATTTGACGGTAACGACTTGTCCCCTGTTTTAAAAATAGGAATTACATTAGCCATCTTCCACATATCAGACACTACACCTGTTTGAAGAGATAAATTAAAAATATTAGTTAATGGTTCACAGAGTTCCATTTTGCATTCCTTAAGAACCCTTGAAAAAACCTCATCAGGACCCGGCGACTTATTTTGCTTCAGTCTGTCTATCTGCTTCACAACCATTTCACTAGTGACTGTGATGTTACATAATTTATCTTCTTCTAGCCCACTATAAAAATTAATTACTGGAATATTGTTAGTGTCTTCCTTTGTAAAAACTGTGTAAAAACTGTAAAAACTGGTGGGAGCTGGTGAGGGAAAAAGGATACCAGCAGTGAGCTAAAGAGTTGCAGCTGTTTTTAAGTGGCAAGTGGTTCACAGTTCAGGAAGAAGGAAGATAAGGAAAGTTAATAGAGAAGATGTGAAGGTAGGAAATCGATTCTTTGTTCTCCAGGACGAGTGTACTTCAGTAGTTAGTGAGGTTAAAGGTACCACTGACTCCCCTGCTAATCAAGGTAAGAATATTCTAATTGTAGGAGATTCTCAGGTAAGATATATGGGCCGTGCTTTTTATAACAGAGATAGGAAGGTCAAACAGAGGGTGTGCCTCCCGGAAGCTGGTGTTGGTGACATAGTAAGCAGGTTGGATAATAGTATGTTTAGGTAATGGGAACAAGCCCATTATCTGTCTTAGTGCTGGTGGAAATGACATTGGGAAGGGCAGGAGGCAGGAGCTGCTGGATAAGTACAGGTCAGCCATAGAAGTTGTCAGGTCCAAGGGAGGGATCCCAATCATATGTAGCATCTTGCCTAGAAGGGGAGTGGGCAATGAATGGATGTCTAGGGCAATTGGTATAAACTGCTGGTTAGACAGGTACTGCAAGGA